CTCTGAATGTCACCTCCGGCTTCTGTCCTATTTCAGATCAAAAGGAAGACGGAAAGGGTGATTCCTGAGGCACACAGAGTTATACCAAAAAAGTGTAAGATTCTTTCTTAAAAAAAAAAGTGCCTGTAATCCCAGCACTTTGGGAGGCTGAGGCGGGTGGATCACAAGGTCAAGAGATCGAGACCATCCTGGTCAACATGGTGAAACACCATCTTTACTAAAAATACAAAAAATTAGCTGGGCATGGTGGCACGTGCCTGTAATCCCAGCTACTCAGGAGGCTGAGGCAGGAGAATTGCCTGAACCCAGGAGGTGGAGGTTGCGGTGAGCCGAGATCGTGCCATTGCACTCCAGCCTGGGTAACAAGAGCGAAACTCTGTCTCAAAAAAAAAAAAAAAAAAAAAAAAGTAAGTGTAAGATTTCCACCCTACCCCCCATACACGTACATAAGGATGAAATCAATCCACTCTGCTACTCTTGCTTGCCCTAAACTACCAAAGCCCTGCATCACAGCTCTGTCTTACTTCAGCCAGGACCAGAGGTGCTGATGACTGATATATTTAGTAAATTTATATGGACACAAACTGACAGGCCCTCTCTGTTACTTTTGGTGGGAGAAAATAGTTCGCTTTTTAAGGCTTAATGATTTTTGATAATTTCTTCTCTGTCCAGCAGCAAGGCCCTGATAGGTCTGAAAACACGATACATCATACATGTTTATAAGCTATACACTGAGAGTCAGAACCACCAGGTAGATATTAACCATATTTCTTAAGTCTACTTCGTTGTTTCCCTTAGAGCCAAAACTGTTTGTTCAGTCAATTATCTCATAATCTTGTTTCTATTCATGTAGGCTTTATTTAGTCTAAAGTCAATTCGGAAAATATATACAGCAGTGTTTACATTAACATTATATGAAGAATTTGGTTTATCCACATGGGTAGATGCCAGGGAATTCAAATTGCTCTAGGATAGGAAAAGAAAGGAAAAGAGGAAGGGAAAAGATAAAAGAATTGGAGTCAGAGTGAAATCTGCCATTTTGCTTACCCTATTCCATTCATTCTGCCTCAGCACTGGGTCACGTCAAGGAATCTTTTCTCCAGAGATCTTTGATGAATCTACAGTCATGGACCATATGATCATGTTTTGGTCAGTGACAGACTCCACATATGACAGTCGTCCCATAAGATTAAAATACTGTTTGTACTGTACTTTTTCTATGTTTAGATATACAGATACTTACCATTGCGTTACAGTTGCCTACGGTATTCAGTACAGTTACCTGCTGAACAGGCTCGCGGTCTAGGAGCCATAGACTACACACCTATATGGAGTATATATAGTCAGCTATACCGTGAAGGTTTGTGTAAGTGCACTCTCTGACGTTCGCACAAGGACTGAATCGCCTAACAGTGCGCCTCTTAGAACATAGCTTCATCATGAAACGACACGTGACTTTACTTGCAATGGAGCCTGAAGGGACGTAAAGCCCCTAATTTCCTGGGTCTCCTGTATTTGATGAGTTACGTTATTGGGATTCTAACTAGCCGTAATCAAGAAAGATGCTGGGAGAAAAAGTAGAGAAGTAGAATCAGAAACTTGAAGTCAGACAGCCCCTGCCTGTTTTGTTTCTTTTTTTTTTTTGGTGTGATTGAAAAGTTACTTACACGCTGCATTTCTGTTTCCTCATCTGTTATAAAAAACAAACTAACCAAAACCCTGGGGATTTGTGAGAATTGAATAACGTCATATACTATTAATCTAAGGCCCCAGCACAGTGCCTGGCACATGGTAAATGTTTAAAGAGCTGTTAGATGAAAAAAGGATTTTTCCCAAACATCTAATCATCAAAATCAGGACAAAAGAAAAAATCCCCGCTTGATTAGCACAGAATCATAGAACTCTATTTCTGGAAGGGACTGCTGTAAACAATCTAGTCTGGCAGTTGACAACTTTTTTTAAAGCTAGGATCCTTTGACAGAATATGAAGAAACAGATGCATTAAAGAAATAATGGCAGGCTGGGTATGGTGGCTCCACATCTGTAACCCTAGAACTTTGGGAGGACGAGATGGGATGATTGCTTGAGGCCAGGAGTTCAAGACCAGCCTGGTCAACAGAGTGAGAGCCCATCTTTAAAAATAATAATAATAATAGCAGAGCTGGAGGAGTGGGCAAAGCTCCCCCTTGGTTTCCTCCTATCTCTACTCTCTTGGAAGATCTGGTAGCACCTGATGCCTTCCACATTTTGAAAATGAAAATCTGGTCCAGTGCCACCATTTTACCAATAGGTGAATGGCCCAGAAACGTGAAGTTGTATTTTCAGTGGTATGGCCACACTGCAGCCTGAATTTATCTTCACCTACAGCATCACGAGAAAGAATAACCAAGACTGTAGTATATGGGACTCTATGGCAGAACACTGCACAGAAGCTTTAAAAGACCTAGAGCTTTAGTTCATCCTGCGTGAACCTTTTTTCCCCTATAGATGGTAGATGGTAGATGATAATCTTTTGGGTGGCCCATTTCCATTTTCATGTTTATTTTTCAACTGTTTCTGGTGTCACTTAAAACATTTCCTGTGAGATTCCAGTACCTTCTAACAGCCTTGAGGACAATTAGCAGCTGCATAGATTTCCATGAAACAGCTTTGCCCCCTCCTGCACCCTCTACCTTTGCCTTCTGTGGTCCTATCTGATGCTAAATAAAATGCTACAATTTCTAAATGTTTTTACATTCAGGGCATTTTCCATCAACCTCTTCACTAGAGTGTCCTCTCAGGCATGTTACTGCAGTACAGAAATGTAAACCACAAAGCTGACTCAATGAAAGCCTGAAGCCAATGTATTTTCTTTTTGAGATAAGGCTGTGTTTCTACAAACAACCTCCAACTTTATTTGGAAAAGAAAGGAGATATAATACAGTTTATGACTGCTGGGCTGTTTCCAAATGTGGCTAATTTCCTGTTAGGTTATTCATGTGTCTTTATGTTCTTGTGGAAAGCATAAGGTCTTTTAACTGACTTTTGGAAATGAGGAAAGTTGACTTGGGGCTGAGGGAAAAGGCGGGATTCATTTTTTTTTTGTTTGTTTGTTTGAGACAAAGTTTCATTCTATTGCCCAGGCTAAAGTGCAATGGCCCGATCTCCGCTCACCGCAACCTCCACCTCCCAGGTTCGAGTAATTCTTCTGCCTCAGCCTCCCAAGTAGCTGGGGCTATAGGTGCACGCTGATTTTTGCATTTTTAGTAGAGATGGGGTTTTGCCATATTGACCAGGCTTGTCTAGAACTCCAGACCTCATATGATACACCTGCCTTGGCCTCCCAAAGTGCTGGGATTACAGGTGTGAGCCACCGCACCTGGCTGATGCAGAATTCTTTATCACCATGAAAGTTGCCCCAGAGCCCTAGCTTGCACTGATGATCTGGGTTCCTACTTGTGTGCATGTCCATGTCCCCTCTAGACTGGGGACTCCCTGAGAGCAGAAGCATATCCTTTATGTCTCTCTCAAAGGTCTGCATGTCCATCTCATGACCTAGCTCAGAGTTGATGCTTGAAACCTATTTATTGACTGTTTACCCAAGAGACTTTCTAGATGCAAAGCAAGCATGTCAAAAAACTTGGTTATTGCTGACTCCTATCTATGTTAAAGGAAAATACGTATTGTGATAGTATTCTACTGTTTAAAAGAAATATCTAGGCTGGATGTGGTGGCTCACACCTGTAATCCCAGCACTTTGGGAGGCCAAGATAGGTGGATTGCTTGAGGCCAGAAGTTCAAGACCAGCCTGGCCAACATGGCAAAACCCTGTCTCTACTAAAAATACAAAAATTAACCAGGCATGGTGGCACGTGCCTGTAATCCCAGCTACTTGGGAGGCTGAGGCAGGAGAATCCCTTGAAGCTGGGAGGTGGAGGTTGCATTGAGTGGAGATTGTGCCACTGCACTCCACTTCAAACAGAAATAGAAAAAAAAAAGAAAGAAAGAAAAAAATATCAAATGGAATAAAAGAGTCCTGTTAGAACAAAGCCAAAAGGCCCTTTATAGGAGGTCTAGTTTTCAGTTTCTTGGCCGACAGAACTAGACTAGAGACAGTGAATTCAGCAACAAATACACATAAGAATTATTGAGCACTTAATATGTGGTAGGTGCAAATCTAAGAGCTTTATATATCATATCTCATTTCATCCTCACAAGAGTTCTATGAAGTAGGCTGTGATTATCCCCATTTTACAGATGTGAAAACAGAGTCTGAAATCATTGCCCCTTAGTGGTGGGATTTGAACCCAGACAGTGTGTCCAGAGCCCACTTAGCCGCTAATGACCAATTGAGTGAAATACTTACAGGAGACAACAGTGCATGTATCATAGTGAAAATACGAAAGGCTCAATGGCACTATTTCCTCTCAGATGACTTAGTTGAAAGCTCTGATCTCCTACATCTTCTGAGTTTGGGAGAAAGGTGGGGAAGAAAGGTAAGAGAAAGCCATCACAGCGTTAACTGTTTTTCTTTTTTCTTGTCCTGATCTGATGAGACTTTTGTAAATCACGTCTATTTAATTTTCTTAACAAATTACATTTTTTTAGAGCATATTACTTTTGAGTTACTTTAATCACAGTTTTATGTTTTTTAGTTACAAATTCCATTTTTTAGGGCATATTGCTTTTGACTTACTTTAATCACAGTTTTATGGTTTTTAGTTACAAATTCCATTTTTTAGGGCATATTGCTTTTGAGTTACTTTATTTCCCAGATATTACCGAAATGATTCTTACCACACCAGCGTGAGGGTGTTAAAGGTGAACATTATTCCCACTGGCATGCATGGAAAAATGGAGGCACAAGGAGGCCATGGGGCCTGCCCAAGGTCCTGTCAATCACTCCAGAGAAGACACTCAACCGTGGCCTTCTGAATTGTAGCTCCGTTTTCCATATCTACCATAAGCATAAACCTTTCATGTGCTGGGAAGCAAAGGTGAGCCTTCTTGTTCTCTTTCAGGTGTGTGGATGGCTCCTGGATCTTGACTTGCTCCCACGGAAATATTGTGTGACTGAGTTTCCTGTCATACTGCTCCCCAGTTGACCATGAACCAGCCAGAGCCTGCCAGTGACCCTGAACCCCTGTGTGCGGTATGCGGCCAAGCCCACTCCCTGGAGGAAAACCACTTCTACAGCTACCGGGAGGATGTGGATGATGACCTCATCTGCCACATCTGCCTGCAGGCTTTGCTGGACCCCCTGGACACTCCGTGTGGACACACCTACTGTACCCTCTGCCTTACCAACTTCCTGGTGGAGAAGGACTTCTGCCCCATGGACCGCAAGCCTCTGGTTCTGCAGCACTGCAAGAAGTCCAGCATCCTGGTCAACAAGCTCCTCAACAAGCTGCTGGTGACCTGCCCGTTCAGGGAGCACTGCACCCAGGTGCTGCAACGCTGCGACCTCGAGCACCACTTTCAAACCAGGTAGGACCCCCTCAGCAGGCCAGGAAGCCCTGCCCCAAGGGGACAGCTGGACTCCCCCGTCTCCTGAGGACTGCGTGGCCTCCAGTGTCCTAGGGCTCCATGGAATGCTCGTTTCTCTTTTTTGTTACAACCAATGAAATGATCCATTCAAAATAAAAAAAACAGCAAGGGATGTATAGTCATGGTTCAGTGTGAGGAAACAGCATTTGGTAGAGTTGCATTCTACGTGTGTGTTTATGGATTTTTAAAAATTGTAGTCAAATGTACTATGAAATTTACCATTTTTAATCACTATGAGTGTACAGTGCCATGGTAGTAAGTACTGTCCCATATCATGCAACCATCACCACCATCCGTCTCTAGAAATTTTTCGTCTTCTAGAATGGAAACTCCATATCCATTAAACATGAACTCCCCATTCCACCTTCCCCCAGTCCCTGGCAACCACCATTCCACTTTTTGTCTCCATGAATATGACTGCTCATAGTGCTTCATGTAAATATCATATAGTATTTGTCCTTTTGTGACTGGCTTATCTCGTGTGTGTGTGTTGAAATGTGAAATATACCAGAGAAGGTGTATGAGCAGCTTTCTCTGAGGCTCATGGGCCCCAAAAGGATTTCCTGATGGGCACTGCTTACTTTTTCACTTAAGAACAAAAAAAAAAAAGGTGTCCCGGTTTGACCCTTGATTATTAGAATTTCCTCTGTATTGGAACTGACAAGGCACAACTGTCCTTCAAGGAGGTGTGAGGTGTTCTCAATTAGGTTTTAAAATGAGAAATTTAGGAAATTTTTGTCCTCCAAGCAATGTGTTGTGCTTTGTGGCCAAGTCACTGAGTTGCGCACGCACGCACACCCACACACCCACACCGGTGGCAGGATTCTGGTGTGACTGCCACTGCTGGTGGCTGACATCACCTGTCCCATCTGGCTGCCTCTTATTTCATCCACTTACATTGTCGTGTTGCTGGGCCTTGAGAACATTTAAGGTGCTTAATAAAGGGTGAACAGTCATGCGCAATTATTTTGTAAGAGGAAATTTGGAAGCTGGTGTTTATCCTGGTTCCTGTCATGACAAGGGCAAGAAGCAAGCGGAGGTTTTTTTTTTTTTTTAAAGTTCGCATACCTTAGGTCATGAATCTGAGTCTTTGCCTTTTGGGACATGCATGGATTCTCTAACGTGGAAGTTCGCCTCAAAAGCAATGGCCAGGTTGTAATGCTCAGCACGTGTTTTCCATGCTCATTATGTCCGTGAATTCATTTTTCTCTCCAAGATGTTGAGCCAGATGCTTCCAACTCGGGTTTTGGGGTTGCAGCTGTTACTGCTAGTGTTTAAACTAGGATGCCCTCCCTCCCCAATTCCCCAGAAGTAGATGTGGTTAAAGGAGGAGTGGGTAAGGGAGTCTATTTGTGACCTTTGCTGCAAGCTTTGCGCAGGTGTGAGAGGCGTTGGTGGGAAGGAAGTACGTCTGGAGTCAAAGGTGAGGTCGATGCCAACAGGAGTCAGCACGGAGCCAGGTTCAAGAGTGGGGGCCACACTAGGCAGGGGGATGAAGAGCATGAGGAGGAGAAAGAGCACAGTAGAGCTCCCTTCACAGTCACCACAGCCCCGTATTCCTGATGTGTTGCAATTATACATTGTTGCTGGGGAGCTGTGTTCATTTCCTGTTGCTGCTATAACAAATGATCACAAACTTAGTAACTTAAAACAATCCAAATTGCTGGGTGCAGTGGCTCACACCTGTAATCCCAGCACTTCGAGAGGCTGAGGCAGGAGGATCACTTGAGCCCAGAAGCTTGAGATCAGCCTGGACAACATAGCAAGATCCCATCTCTACAGACAATTTAAAAATTAGCCAGATCTGGTGATGTTTGCCTGCAGTCTTAGCTATTCAAGGGACTAAGGTGGGAGGATAGCTGGAGCCTGGGGGTAGAGGCTGAAGTGAGCTGTGATGCACTACTGCACTTCAGCCTAAGTGACAAAGCAAGACTGTCTCAAAAAAAGAAAAAAAACAAACAAATTTGTTATCACATAGTTCAGAGGGTCAGAAGTCTAACACACTTGTCGGTAGACTAACATTGAGGGGTCAGCAGGGCAGCATTCCTGTTGGCTCCAGGGGAGAATCCCTTTCCTTGCCTCTTCCAGCTTCTAGTGCTGCCTGCACTCCTTGGCTTGTGGCTCCCTCTTCCATGTTCAGAGCCAGCCACACAGCATCTTCCAGGCTCTCTCTGGCCTCTGCTTCCATCCTCACATCTCCTTCTGTGACTCTGACCCTCCTGCCTCCCTCCTATAAGGACTCATGTGATTACCTTGCACCCACCTGGATAAGCCAAGGTGATACCTTCATATCAAGATTCTTCATTTAGGTGGGGTATGGAGGCTCACACCTATAATCCCAGCACTTTGGGAGGCCGGGGGCAGACAGATCACTTGAGGTCAGAAGTTTGAGATCAGTTTGGCTAATGTGTGAAACTTGTTTTTACTAAAAACAAAAATTAGCTGGGCGTGGTGGTGCGTAATCCCAGCTACTCGGGAGACTGAGGCACAAGAATCACCTGAACCTGGGAGGCAGAGGCTGCAGTGAGTCAAGATTGTACCACTGTACTCCAGCCTGGGCAACAGAGCAAGACTCTATCTCAAAAAAAAAAAAAAAAAAAAAAAGATTCTTAATTACATCTGCAAAGTCACTTTTGTCATATGAAGTGCCATATTCAGAGGTTCTGAGGATTAGGAGCCAGACACCTTTGGGATAATTATTCTGCCCGCCCCAAGAGTCAGAGCGGGGAGACAGAAGACAGCAGTGGAAGCATCCTCTAGGGAGCAAGTGAAAAACCAGGCACTCCTCATCCCCTCATCCAAGACCGCTTTGGGCCAGGGTGTTTCTAAAAACAGGGAGAAGAAGGTGTGCAGATCTGAGGGTGAGGCCAGAAGGGAGGTGGGGAAGGGGAAGGGCTAGGAGGACGCTGCTGGGAATCTGTGAGGTCTTCAGGAGAAACACGACACGCTGCTCCTCAGCTGCCTGAAGCAGACTGGGAATTTCATTCACCCTCAACCCCTGCAGCCTGTGTGACCCACACATACCTCAAGGAAGCCTGAGATGGAGGCTGGATGAACACTCAGCTGATGAGATGCACATTTGGAAAACGGCAGTGAAGAGAGAACCCAAAACTAACTGAAACTGAGTCAACTTTTTAAGCTGCAGCCTCTGAGTGAGTCCTTCACAGGTGCCCACAGCAGCTCTCTAGAGAGGACGCCCCCACATCGGGGAGGCGTGGGCCTCAACACATGCTCTCAAGCCTCCACACTTCTGCTTCCTAAGTAGGCTGAATCCAACATTTCCAAAAATACATTCTATGTATTAGTCATCATATGCCTAATATACACTCCCTCGCCTCCCGCCCCCTGCACGTTTTATTGGCAAGGATTAAGAGTTTGAAACTAACTTAGAACCTGATTGTGGATCTCTCTTGGGCTTTGGGCCTCTGATGGGCCGGTAGGTCCCCTCTTCCTCCCCTTAGGAGGGATATTAAGAAGAACTTAAGAAGTAGTTAATACCTCTGGAGGCCCTTGAACTTAGAAAACTAAGAGGTTGCCAGGAGGCAAGTGTTTTCTTTACTTTTATCTGTGAGGCCTCTGGGATGGTGGCTGCTTGTATGGGAGAGTTGTCATAGCCTTTTTTAATAAATTTTGCACTGGTTGGGCTGGCAAGGTAGCTCACACCTGTAATCCCAGCACTTTGGGAAGCTGAAGGGCAGATTACCTGAGGTCGGGAGTTCGAGACTAACCTGACCAACATGGAGAAACCCCCGTCTCTTCTAAAAAAGTACAAAATTAGCTGGGTGTGGTGGCACATGCCTGTAATCCCAGCTACTCAGGAGGCTGAGGCAGGAGAATTGCTTGAACTGGGAGGTGGAGGTTGCAGTGAGCCAAAATCGCACCATTGCTCTCCAAGCTGGGCAGCAAAAGTGAAACTCCATCTCAAAATACATAAATAAATAAATAACATTGTATATTGCTTTGCTTGATGTTTCACATCACTTTATCCAATAAACATGCATCTAAATAAAATTGTTTTAATTTTTTAAATTTAATTGAAATACATATTGTATACATGATATACAACACGATGTTTTAAAATATGTATATATTGTGAAATAGCTAAAGCAAGCCAGTTGACCTGCATTACCTCATATATGTACCATTTTATTTGTGATGAAAACAATTAAAATCTACTCGCTTAGTAATTTTCAAGTACGCAATACATTCACTATAATCACCTTCTTGTACAGTAATCTCCTGAGTTGACACCTCCTGTCTAACTGAAACTTCTGCATCTGTTGCCCAACAGGAGACTGAAGTCAGGGCGCAGGCAGACAGCATCACATCTTTAAACAAATGCTGCCTGTTTTCTCCAGAATTCGTTTTATTTGTAAACGATGTCTGTCTAACTACTAAATATAAATACTTGAGTAAAACATTCAGGACCTGCTGTGGGTGTGTATGACTGGCTAAATCATTGATTCCTTGGACAACTGTTTCTGCTTTCAGACTGGAGAGCTCTTGGTTGGAATCTTCTGGCTAATTCTGTTGACTGCCCTCTTAAATGCTTACAGTCTCCCATCACTTGGGTCTACCGTAGAGAATTCCCAGGGGGGTGATGGACTTACTCAGTTGAATGGCAGCCTTCCTAACTGAAAGCCATTACCAGTATGTAGTGGGGCCCCTGCAGAGGACCCATCTGGTCATCTCCCTTGACCCAGACTATCAATGAGAGGGTGTGTGGATGCCAAGCTTTTACTTCTTGATCCTGAGCGAGACTTTAGGATCAAGACCACCTCTTCTTTGTGTGATCTCAGCATCTGCATAAACAGCATTTAGCAAGGATTCACAATAGGTCAGGCCCTGAATGAAAGAAAAATAACTTGTGATTTCTGCCTCTAAGGAAATGATCTTTCAAAGGCAAAAGAGAGAAGTTGAAAACACACGTGAATTGTTTC